ATGCATGGTAGCCAATCAGCTTCTAACTTAAGTTTGTTCAATTAAGCTTTAAGCAATAAAAACCTGGAAGCTGATTGGTTTCTCTGCAGAGCAGCACCAGATTTTGCACTCTCCAGTTTTAGTAAATAACCCCCATAAAGTGCTCATCTGCCAGAAAGTACACACAGTAAATCGATAAAGGGAGGAGAGTTTTCCTGGAGGGTGGTTGCTGGCATTTCATAAAAGCAGCATTTCTGGTCTTAGGAGCCATAAGTAAGTGCTAGTATCCTATCAAATTAATGCTGACATTTAGCCATTAAAAAAAAAAACAAGAAAACTCTCCATAGCTTTTGCTAGAATGTGTCGTGCCATGCAGGCAGCTGTATCCTGTACAATTGTTCTATGCAGGAGTTCCCTGTCCTTTTCCTTCTGCTCAACTTCCAGTACTGCAGGGTTTCATAATTTTGGATCTTCTGTGAATCTGCTAAGAAAAAGTTCCCGATGAAGACCCTCCTCCATTGAGAAACATTCTTTAATTACTTTTGATGCCTATAGCACGATCCATGAATGGGGAGAGTCTGATGAGTCACAGGATTTTCTCCCTCATTCTCAGATAGTGTGACAGGCAGTGGAAGGAGGACAGGAGCGCCCTCTTTGGAAACTTTTTCATAGCAGCTTCACCAAAGACCCAAAACAAATAGCCCCTACAAAAAGAGGTTGGTGCATCCCTGCGCAGAATATTTATAGTATATGGAACATTCTTCTTTAGAGGTAAGTTAGCTCACTTAAATTATACAATTTTATTTCAGCTAAACGCCCATTCTTTTGAATAGGTTACTTAATGCACCACAAAAACAATTGAAGTACTGTCCGTGATACCTTTTTTATTTGCACTAACATACAATTTTGTGAGACAAGCTTTTACGGGGTATGTCCCCTTCTTCAAAAGTCCAAGCAGTACTATACAAATCACAAAGTTTCTGCAGAATGTTAGAAGGGATGAAAAAAAAAGAGGCTAGAGATAAGATAAAGCAAAAGCGAGGGGGGACGTATCTTGCTGTATCTTATCTCTAGCCTCTTTTTTTTTCCCTTCTAACATTCTGCTGAAACTTTGTGATTTGTATAGTACTGCTTGGACTTTGAAGAAGGGGACATACCCCAAAAGCTTGTCCTCAAAAATTGTATGTTAGTGCAAATAAAAAAAATAGTATCACGGACAGTACTCAATTGTTTCTGTCGCAAATTGTGCACTAATACGGCTACAATCACCTTAAGCTAATGCACCACAGTACAAACCTAAAATTGGACCCTGCAGTATTTTCTGTATCACAACATCCCATTATGAACCAGAAAAGCAGGTGTGTTTAAAGCGTGCATTAGGGTGGGATTCTTATTACCGTAAGTGGTATTGCAGGATGTACAACTGGTGTGAATAGGCCCTAAAACATTCCTACTTGTGCATTGAGGCTTTTGTCCCCTGGTTTTTCATATCTATGAGTCATAAATTACAAGAGTCATGGATGAATATAACAAAATCACAGGAGCTCATTAGAACTAACAATATAAAAAAAAAAACAGTTTAATTGTGGGAAGACACAGCTACTTTGTTAGCTCAATAAATCTATACAGTTTTTTTTTTCAGCTAAACTTCAACCTTAAACATACTCATATAAAATAGAATATAAATTTTAATACCAAAGATAATGTAAAGATGGTAAAGATGACATAAAAAAAAAACATTACATTTTGTATATGAAAAATGAACTAGTAACAATGTGCATTAATTACATATTACGTAAGCTGCAAAAAGGTAGCCCATTCTTTTGAATAGGTTGCCTAATGCACCACAACAAACCTAAAATTGGACTGCAGTATTTCTGTATCACAATATCCCATTACGAACCTGAAAAACAGGCGTGTTTGAAAGCGTGTATTAGGGTGGACTTTCTTATTAAGTGGTATTGCAGGATGTGCAACTTGGTGTGAATAGGGCCCTAAAAAACATTCCTACTTGTGCATTGAGGCTTTTGTCCCCTGGTTTTTCATATCTATGAAATCATAAATTACAAGAGTCATGGATGAATATAACAAAATCACAGGAGCTCATTAGAACTAACAATAAAAAAAAAACTGTTTAATTGTGAGAAGACACAGCTACTTTGTTAGCTCACTAAATCTATACAATTTTTTTTCAGTAAAACTTCAACCTTAAACATACTCATATAAAATAGAATATAAATTTGTAAATACCAAAGATAATGTAAAGATGGTAAAAGATAAACAAAAAAAAACTTTACATTTTGTATGTGAAAATGAACTAGTATCAATGTGCATTAATTACATTTACGTAAGCTGCAAAAAAGGTAGCCCATTATTTTGAATAGGTTGCCTAATGTACCACAACAAACCTAAAATTGGACCTGCAGTATTTCTGTATCACAATATCCCATTACGAACCTGAAAAACAGGCATGTTGAAAGCGTGCATTAGTGTGGATTCTTATTACTGTAAGTGGTATTGCAGGATGTGCAAATGGTGTGAATAGGCCCTAAAACATTCCTACTTGTGCATTGAGGCTTTGTCCCCTAGTTTTTCATATCTATGAATCATAAATTACAAGATCATGGATGAATATATAACAAAATCACAGGAGCTCATTAGAACTGACAATATATAAAAAAACTGTTTTAATTGTGGGAAGACACACAGCTTCTTTGTTCATCTAACGCAAACATTAAACCTATCACCTCTAATTTTGCTGTCACCTTTGATCAAAACTGCCACTAGCACAGAACAATAGGCCTCCTATAACCCCTAATAAAAAGTTATATACATGTAAATTTATTCTTTACTGTACAGGGTGAGGGTACTTTTACATATTGCATAATTGAAGATCATAATTTTTTTTTTTTTCGGTAAGTGTTGTGATCTGTTATACGTATTACTAAATTATCTATTATTCCACCTTGTAAAAGTTAACCTATACCAGACAAAAATCGTAGCCCTCCTATACAGCCTTTAAGATGTTTCACATAGTGAACAAATATATCAATATCAACCATACAAGGCAGAATAAGTGTGATGAGCCATTTCTATGTTCATTCAGAGACATTCAGCATGTAACTGTAGCACCACTGTGTGACACCCTCAGGAATCTTTTTCATACTGCAAGATTTTATAATGTTCGCTATAGTACCTACAAATATTAAAGGAATAGTGTACCTAGCAATGTAGATGCCCCCTTTGCAAAGTGAATGCTAGTGGATAAATGTAACAATGATGCCACTTGAAATACCCAATCATGTGCTAGAAAAGTAAAAAATCCTGTTTCCCTCACACATGATTGGGTCCTCAAAATGAACACAAAATCAACCCTAGTATGTAAAGTGCACTAAGTCATGATTTTTGACTGCAATAAACTACTGTAGAAATGTAAACTTAGTAGTTGCAAAGGTTTTCACAGATTATCAGTGTGCCTTAGGCTCACACATGCAAAGAAGGAGCAACTCAGCAAGCATTCATTTCACTATTCGGTTTATCATAAAAATCATAACATATGTAGCCACATTCAGTATTAACGGAAATGAATGGAAATTGCATTCTGAACACAGCATCTTTCTGAGCCTTGTAGACACAGCAATGATGAATCATTAGCCATTACACAGTATGCTCACGGCTGTGAACTATCTCAGCTTTTCTCGCTCAAATTTATATAGGATCTGATAAGTCAATAGGAATGATACTGCAAATGTAATCATATCTGGCAGCTTACTAAACTAAGATGTTTAAAAAATAAACCGCTTAATGAATTTGTCACTGCAAGCAGCTTCTGAATGTAGAATGACCATGGATAAAAAATGTAACATGAAAATGTCATTTAAATCTCATATCTCTGGTTAAATGGATTTCAATGTTAGGGGCCAATCAAAGTTCAGCAAAGAGGAATGTGTAGTAAACAATGGCACACATTGCGCATCGTGTTTGACTAAACGGGACTACAAGCTGTTTTTGCAACTTACCCCATAGGGATCCATTTGTTTTATCTATATAGTAGTGAATTGCTACTTTTTGTTATTATTAGCATTTTTAGTAGTAAGACCAAGTTGTGTGACTAAGTTACTTAAACTACTGCTGTTTAAGCGCTACCTAACACAGGACTACAGATTGTTTCTGCTATGTAGACTCAGAAGGTGGGGGACAAACTTGTAGCTTAGAAACTACAGGCCTTCAACTATACTCACCAGCCACCACTTTATTAGGTACACCTTGCTATTGCCAAGAAAATATCCCCCACACCATTACACCACGACCACCAGCCTAAACCGTTGATACAAGGCAAGATGGATCCATTCTGCCCATTCTCCTGTGACCTCTGAGATCAACAAGGCATTTTCATCCACTGTATATTTTTCTCTTTTTCAGACCTCTCTCTGTAAACCCTAGAGATGGTTGTACCTGAAAATCCCAGTAGATCTGCTGTTTTGAAATATTCAGGCCCACCCGTCTGGAACCAACAACCATGCCACATTCAAAGTCACTTAAGTCCCCTATCTTTTCCCATTCTGATACTCAGTTTAAACTTCAGCAAGTCGTCTTCACCATGTCTACATGCCTAATGGCGTTAAGTTGCTGCCATGTGATTGGCTGATTAATGATTTGTGTTACCAAGCAATTGAACAGGTGAACCTAATAAAGTGGCTGGTGAGTGTATTTATCTATAAGAAAAAGGCACAATTTATTTTTTTTCCCCTAGAGCAGATAGACAAAAACTGTAGATGCCGTGACAAACACACCTAAAATCACCTTTCTTAGGTCAATAGTCACCCAATTAATAAGAGATATTTTAAATCAGCTGCAATATAATAAAAAAATTTAAATAGTTTATAAATATTTAAATCTCTTTAAAATGTTATATAGCAAAGCAATCCATTCCGCTATCATTTGGTTTGTTTTCATACATGTGCATTGTTTTGTGGCCTTGTTCCTGATTCTTCATTTCATTATTTCTTATTTGTTTTCAGTTGACATGTGGTCAGTGGGTTGCATCATGGGAGAAATGATTAAAGGTGCTGTGTTGTTTCCTGGCACTGATCGTATCCTTCCAGAAATCCATGTACTGCTGACTGCCAGCTGCTCAGTTTGTGCTGTAACTAGAACAGATCTGAAGAATCCTTGGGGACACTAAATTTTTCTGTTTTGCTTTGTATTATTTTTCGTATCTGTAATAGAGAGTCTGATAAATGCAGAGGTCCTTCTAGTGGTTCTAGATGCTTCATGTGATGTTAAAGATAAAGACTCTTCTCACAATTATGCCACAAAATGAATATCAAAAGGAGTTTCTATTTTCTTCTTCTCCCTTGAAGCTCTTAAGAAAGTAGCAGTTCCTGTAGGACACAAATTTTCTTGTTACCATTTCTCTGCTTTTTGTTGTTGTGACAGCAGCTCCCATGAAGTAGCATGGCTTATGTGTTCGTTCCCAGGTTTTTAGCAGCTGAAAAACATTACGTGGTCATGATGTACTCTACCCCCCCCCCCCCACCAGCAGTAAGGTAATTCTGGTCTATTAAGGAACCTTTATAGCTTTAGAAGATTTGTTCTGCTGATAAGATTTAGTTTAATGCTGCAGGTAATATCACCTAGTCGGTCTCTGGTGTAATTTATTTTGCTCTCCTTGGATCTTCATAAATTGACTAAAGTTGTAACCTGAGCGTTTGTACATTGTTTGGAAAAAGGAAGGGTGCTAATCTAAGCATTTTTGACTTTCAAATGCACTCATGTATTGCATTAAGTAAAAGAAGTAAATGGGAGTGGTAGAGTATTGCTTATATTGCTGGAAAGGGCCCAGTCACACGTTACCATTCTTGTTCACTGAACACAAGAATTAAGAGGTGGTGTTAAGTTCATTTTGAATGGGCTACCAATGTACCCAAACAGAAAAAAAATGGGCATACAATTTTTTTTCTGATGCAGAACATCAGAACACACTGCATCGGAAAAGTGTGCATTGGTTTTAGGGCTTGGCTCGCTCAAAGTTTGCTTACATTATCCTCCTGTACAGATATAATATGGTATCTGCATACAATACAATACAATTTACTATCGTAAAATTGATGCATAGTCCCAATTTTTTTTTCCCCAAAGTTTGTACCCAAGACACGAAAGGTCATGCAAGCAGCACTTCAAGCTCAATCTTATGAGTTTTCCCCTAGAACTGGCTTATTTCTACTTTTTCAGTAAAATTTGAGTAAAACCCAATGAAGCAATCTTCTAGATAGGTGCTAGGATTAGTAGATTATAGTTGGTTCCTTTGCTTAACAGGAGAACTGTCAGGAAAATATAATTAGGTTTTCTGCAGTTGTTTAGTAGTGCCTGCTCATTGTGTTCAAGTGCTGCTAGTTCTGCCTCTGTCTTCCTCTGTATCCAAGTAACCTAGGAAGGTTCTGGATGTATAGGTGGAACACAGCATGAATATTAATGCCACTCCAGCCAATCCCAGGGAGTGCAGCCATGAAGGATGCTGGGAGAGGGTATTTTTTTCTTTGCACGCACTGAGCCCTCAGTCTTTCCTGGAGAGGATTGTACCAGCCTGAGGGAAGGCACGCTGCCTCCCCAGGCAGCTGCTGCCATGCTGCCTCAGGTGGGCGACCTGAGGGATTGAAGTAAGAGAGAGAGGACCTTAGTTCTTCAGGAAGCTGACTGAGGGGAGCTGTCTGCCAAAGATCTGTCTGGTATCACTGGAGGGCATTGCTTGGAAGATTGGAGGGAGGCTGCCATTCTATCCTTGGGCCTTGTGAGTACGGACACTGTGGGATCTTGGGGACTCTGGTGTGCTTTGCTACTCCTTGGTTGGTCTGAAGAAGGGGACACCAGCTAGTGTCCTGAAGAGCACTGTCTGTTTAACCCCCTTCTGACATTGGGACTTTGCTCAAGACTGCTATTTAAATTATTTCTTCAACTGTAACTAGTTCTAATCTTGGAGTATCCTACTAAATCCCCTTCTTCCTATCCAAGTTGTCCAACAATAAAACTACCAAAAACAACCTCTAGACTGATCATTGAGGACAAGGAGCGAAAGTGTGTGTGTGTACCTGGCTGTGAAACTACCATGTGCCTGGCTGTAAGACAAAAGAAGGGAAGACTTGGACAGTGATCACAGTGGCTCCTAAGGGGGTAGTGCTACATCAATATATGTCTTTGTTATGTTCCTATTCACACTAATCTTGGAGTATCCTACTAAATCCCCTTCTTCCTATCCAAGTTGTCCAACAATAAAACTACCAAAAACAACCTCTAGACTGATCATTGAGGACAAGGAGCGAAAGTGTGTGTGTGTGTACCTGGCTGTGAAACTACCATGTGCCTGGCTGTAAGACAAAAGAAGGGAAGACTTGGACAGTGATCACAGTGGCTCCTAAGGGGGTAGTGCTACATCAATATATGTCTTTGTTATGTTCCTATTCACACAGCATGCCCCCCCCCCCCAAAAAAAAAAATGTTACCTTTTAAAAGTTTCTCTGGAGAAGGTGTCATGGCAGAAAGCACGTTTTTTTTTCGAACAATGTTAAAGTGAGCTTGTCCCAAGTCTGTCATTAGCATACAATGCAAGAAACCTAGCCTCTATGCCTTTAGGCCTCAGGCAAACTGCAGCTAAAAAAAGCTAATTCTAGAGGTGTTTGACCTTTTTTTTTTTTTCCTTTGCCTGTAAACTCCCCTCCATGTTAGCTTATGTGTCCATGCACACTATAGTTGTTTGCAGGATTTTAGTGGCAGAGAAGTTTACAGGCAGAAAAAAACCCCTTTTTAAAATTTTCTTTTCTTGTGAAAAACGCTGCTAAACTCTTGTAGGAGAAAACACGTTTTTAAGCTTACAGTGTGCATGATGCCGAAATCCTTTTGTAGGGCAGACAATGTTCAAATCTAGTTACAACTGATAATGAAGATCTGCCTGCATAGTATAGACCAGGGGTGGGCAAACTTTTTGACTTGAGGGCCGCAATGGGTTCATATATTGGACCCGGGGGCCGGACCAAGAGTAGATGAATGATGTGTATGTGTCATCCATAGTAAGTATAGTAATATTCCCCCATAGTAAGCATAGTAATTAATCCCCCATATAGTAATTCATCCCCCATATAGTAATTCATCCCCCATATAGTAATTCATCCCCCATAGTAATTCATCCCCCATATAGTAATTCATCCCCCATAGTAATTCATCCCCCATATAGTAATTCATCCCCCCTATAGTAATTCATCCCCCCTATAGTAATTCATCCCCCATAGTAATTCATCCCCCATATAGTAATTCATCCCCCATAGTAATTCATCCCCCATAGTAATTCATCCCCCATATAGTAATTCATCCCCCATAGTAATTCATCCCCCATATAGTAATTCATCCCCCATATAGTAATTCATCCCCCATAGTAATTCATCCCCCATATAGTAATTCACCCCCCATATAGTAATTCATCCCCCCTATAGTAATTCATTCCCCATATTAATTCTTCCCCCATATTAATTCATCCCTCATATAGTATTTCATCCCCCATATAGTAATTCATCCCCCATATAGTAATTCATCCCCCATATAGTAATTCATCCCCCATAGTAATTCATCCCCCATATAGTAATTCATCCCCCATAGTAATTCATCCCCCATATAGTAATTCATCCCCTATATAGTAATTCATCCCCCATAGTAATTCATCCCCCATATAGTAATTCACCCCCCATAGTAATTCATCCCCCATAGTAATTCATCCCCCATATAGTAATTCATCCCCCATAGTAATTCATCCCCCATAGTAATTCATCCCCCATATAGTAATTCATCCCCCATATAGTAATTCATCCCCCATAGTAATTCATCCCCCATATAGTAATTCATCCCCCATATAGTAATTCATCCCCCCTATAGTAATTCATTCCCCATAGTAATTCATCCCCCCATATAGTAATTCATCCCCCATAGTAATTCATCCCCCATATAGTAATTCATCTCCCATATAGTAATTCATTCCCCATATTAATTCATCCCCCATATTAATTCATCCCTCATATAGTATTTCATCCCCCATAGTACTATTCCCCCCCCAAGTAGTAAGCCAAGTCCCCCCTGTGTCAATTTACTTACCTTTGCTCCGCGCGTTCCTCTCGCCGTGTTCCCGCGCCGTTCCGGTCTTCAGGGCGGACTGTGAGAGGAGCCTAGCTCCTCTCACGTTCGTCACGCTGCCGCGCCTACACACATCCTGACAGCCAATGTATCACGCTCCGCGGGCCGGATTAAAAGGTCCGCCGGGCCGTATACGGCCCGCAGGCCGTAGTTTGCCCATTGCTGGTATAGACCGTGTTAATCAGAACAAACACAGATACCCAACCCCTTCATAAACAAAAGAAAAATATCTAGAATTTTTTTCTTGCTGGAGGGTGTAGAATAGAGCATCTAAAAAAAGGCAATGTTTAGATATTTAGTTATGCTATGTGAATGGAGACATGAAATCTATTTAAAGTAGGTATTATGCCAAATTGGCTGCAAAAGTCAAATACAGTTTAAACATTCAGTAACTCTATAACTAAGCCTATTCTTGGGTGAATGCATTAGCTGAAGAGCCCAAGTAGATGAAGAGTGATTACTTCTATAATAAAGTATAATTGCAAAGTTAGGTTTGAAGTGCTGTAGGCAAGCTGTTATAACACATGGTCACTGGTGTAAAATAGATCTCACTTCCCTCCATTGTTGACTGTATGCGTTTGCTCAGTGGCATAAAAACTCCTGTGAACACAGTTGAAAACACAACCTACTCCTCTTCCCTCATCTCGCTTCTCTCCTGAACCCCTGCCATTCTGTCCCTACCTAAAACAATATAGGCACACATTAGGCTTGTTCTCACAGGTATCCAAGAGCTAGTAAAAGCAGGTGGTTGAGTATTGCCCCCTGACCCCTCACCTAAATCAGGACATGCAGCTGCTCAGAGCTGTACACATGGTTTGCTTCACAGCCGTAGAAAGTATTAAATGGTATGTCGCTTTTAGCAGTCGGTACTGCCGTTGCATGCAGCCAATTCAAATGAATGGGGCTACACTAGAACCGC